AGAGAAAGAGACCAGGCAAAAAAGAATTCAGCGTGCAGAAAGCACAGCTCTTTGTGCAGCTTTGTGAAAGATGGGGAGTACTTGGGTACCACAGCTCAGGTGGGATGAAAATGTGCATGCTCAGCCCCTCCGGGACCAGCAGGCCGGGGGCACGGGGGCTGCCCGGGCTCGCAGCCTCTTGGGAGAAGCGATGGGCGCAGTCTGGCTGTGGCGCTTGGAGGCAGGAGGGTTGCTGGGGCCCCCGCGCAGGCAACGCTGCTCCACAGCTGAAAACTGGTCCGGGTCGGTGCAGTTGTCATAACGTGCTGCCTTGTCCCCATCCTTCCCCTTTGCATGAAATGCAGTGAGTTCAGGGGACCGAAGTGGCCAGAAGCAAAACCCAAGCAATTCCTGTTGTTGCTTGAACCAGTTCGCGGCGGGGCCGGAGAAACGACGGCGTTGTCGCAGGGTCTGCAGGTAGGGTTTGGGGAGGGCAGCGCTCTCTCTTTGCTTGGCTGTAGCTGTTGTAAAACCTTACAGGTCCCCTGTGCCTTCTGAGCCCACACACCCGCCCTCTCTTTTGGCCCTGCAAAGGCTAATCCGGAAGGTGTTGCTGGGGTTAAGGCGGATCGCTGTGTTACTGCAGCCCTTTCCTCGTGGGGCCTCCGCGCGCGGTAGGTGGTGCAGGGGCCCGGTTCTGCCCACCGCGCTGCGGGACCGCCGGGGCCATAGACACCGAACCGGAGCTGCAAAGGCAGAGCGCGTACGGGAGATCGGTGAAACGGCTCTCACAAATTTCCTCGGCCTTTTAGCACTGCAAATCAAACTCTGTTTATGCCCGGACCAGCCTGTGATTTGAATCTGTAAAGCAAGCGTTTCACTCTGCGTTTGATACAGGTGTTGCAAGTCCGTTTGCGGGCAGCAGTTTTGCTTGCCCTTTGCACGTTTTATTGCTGGTGGAAACGTCCTTCAGTTTTTCAGTGTTGTGGTGCACCGGTGTAGCAGAGCACAGCTTAAGGATGCCTAAGGAAGCCGCGCTCCTTAGAGAGCGCCTCCAGCGCGGGCGGGGGGTTCCTTCAGTACCCTGACTACGACACTGGGAAGACGACTTTTAGCATAAGGCGGAAAACAGTCCTAAGCATCCCTGATAACTTATTCTGTATCTCCCGAGTGGCGTATGTTTTGGGGGTGCAGGCCAGCAAATTAAAAAAAATAAAAACAGACCTGAGAGCGCTGATGCAGACTTCTGCAGGACATGTTCCCTGTGGGGCTGTCGCTTTCCTGGAAAAAAGCAGTTCCTGCAAAGCAGCCAGCCCTGTGAAAGGCAGCGGGCTGTCCCTGAGCGTCGCCCGCTGGGGTTACAGAACGTCCTCCTGAGGATTGCACGGCGTGTATTCACTGCGTGTGCGCCTGAATCCATTTCAGAGCCTCCTCGGGCCTATCTGAGATAACTTAATGAAGGCGCGTGAAGTCTTGGGCAGGGATAGAAGAGGTGCAAGCCGGGCGCTGTAGGTATTCTCTGAGTCTCCCCTTGAATTCCACTTTTGTCATCAAAAAAACATATAAAACTTAAATTTCCCCTTATAAAACTTAAATTTCTGCAACGGGAGAAGCAAGCTGGTTTTGCTTTTTTTGTTTGTTTGTTTGTTTTTTTCCTTCAGTTGCTCCATTGTGGAGAGAATTTGAGTCCTTAGTCTAGGCCGGGGGCTTGATTCCTCGTCTGTCCTGCGGGAAGGGTTTTCACCGTGGTCCTGCCAGGGGATGTCAGACGGGAGCCCTTCTGAAGGAAAACGTTAGTTTAACGCTGCTTTTCGTGCAACAAGACGCAAGTTGCTATGTCTGCTGTTCACCGCTCGTGAGATTAAGAAGCAGATTAGGTGGTTGAACTACAGGGTTAAGTTTACCAAGGGGAAAAAAAACCAAAACGTGGCGGGGGGAAGGCAAGGTCCCTTTTCTGCAGCATGGACCGTGGAGCGTAGCCACGTCTGTCGCAGCGCTAGAAGGCTCCTGCCGCTTGCTGTCCCTCTGGCCTCGGCCCGCCGGCTTTGGGGACCTCATGCCAGCTTTGCTGGAACCGAACCTCCTGTCCTCGTTCAAGTGACTGCTTCGGCCTAGCCTCAACTTCCGGTTTATCTTGGGGCGAGTTAGGTCAGAAGCAGAGACGCCTGCGTTATTTTGTGAAGAAAAGTCAAATCCTTGTCAAACGAGCGCCGCCTCGACGAGAGCTGTATGCGGACGCAGCCAGATGAGGCCGCCGCGAGGAGGAAGGCTGCCTCATCTGCTGCCCGCCAGCCCCCCCCCGCCATGTAAACAGCGTAGCATATGGGAAGCAGATGCGTGACCTTTTTCTGAGAGCCTCCAGAACGCTTTTGGACTTCATTAAAGCGTTTGCTTGCTTTGCTGTTCACCTTGTCTGGGGCAGATCCTTCTGATCGCGCGCTGGGGCTCGTGCCCTCTTCCTTTAATTTGGGGAACGTCGTCGCGGTCTTTTCCAAAAGTTCAGCTAGCCCACTGGCAGCCGAATGTTTCCACCGACTGTCGTCTGTGGGCGAGAGGTCGGTCTTAGCTGCTGCTGATAGCTGCTCGGCTGCTTGGTTGTTGCTCGCTTGGATTTCTTTGGCTGATACTGAGTAGGAAAGGAAGCGCTGTGCATCAGACAGGCGCGTTTTCCAAGCAGTGGGTAGCCATGGCTGGCAAACGAGAAGCACGTCTGTAGAAGTAACCTGGCTTGGGCACCGTGGCCCGTCACCAG